ACAATAAGCCAAACGAGTCCGTTCTCGAAATTATTTTTCAAGATTTTTCGTAAAAAAAAGAATCGCATTTAACCGGCACGATCTACTCATTCGAATTAAACACATTTTTCTCAGTTTACTGCGGTTAAAAATCACTGAATGTACCCGCACCCATCACGAGTCACCGAGGTATTTGTTAAAAAAAAAAAAAAGTCAGCCCGTATCCGAGACACGCACAGCTAACATTACCAACACCTTGGATCTAACTAAACATGTAATGGCTTGCCAACGGACAACGGAAACCCTAATAAATCATCGAATCCAAAAATTCTTCGAAAAGCGAAAAAAAATAGAACGAAAAACTTCAAATTTGCGAAATTCTCTATTCCTACTCGAAATAATTTCCCGATCGATACATTGCATGAAATTAATTTTGAATTTGATTTTGATTATCTCATTAAATCATTCAACATAAATCCAATCGAAAATTCTTCGAAAAATCGAGAAGGCAAAGAAGGTAAGAAGCTTCAAATTTGCTAATAATTTTCTTTCCGAAATAACAACGAAATCGACACACTTCTGTGTGGAATTAGTCTTCAATTTGCGAGACTACCGACTTTCTTTTCCGGGACTCGTAAAAAAAGCTCGTAAAACGTGGCCTCGCTATCCCGGAACTCGCACAGACCAATCCCAGCGGTGGGATACGACGTTCTTCCACCGTTTCCCCCCCTCATAGTCGCTAACGATTTATTTCGACGAGCCTCTCGGATTCGATATCAACGACTTCTCGGCCTTATGGACCGAGCTACAACCCTTCTTCTCCGGGGCTCGATCCTTCCTTGTCCCACACGGGCCGAGAACCACGAAGATAAAGGAGGTGTCGCGCGTACGACACGCGTACAAACGCCCCGTGTCCTCTTCGCCCGCTTTGTGGCTGGGCGTTCGTTCCGAAATTTGGGTTACCGAACCCCGATTAACCCTTCGCGCGACCGCTGTCAGTGTGACCTGCACGACCATGAGGCGGACATTGGTGTGGTCCTGAAGGAGTTAATATTGTTTGAATAAACCCGGGAATGAAGATGTATTTGGTAATAATGCGAAAAAAATGATCACTTATAATTATATATTATAAAAATTATGTTTAAAAAAGATAAGATATGACTTTTCTCTTTTTAAAATTTTGTAAAGATTGATAAAATAAATAGAAAATGATATACTTAAACTTAGATTTATATTTCTAAACTATGTAAATCGAACAATCTTATAAGATATAAAAGAACGATTGAATGTACAAATAGATTGTATTATCTCTGGAAAAATATTTTGTCAAAAGGGAATAATATTTTTGTAGTATATTCTAGCTAGTGGAAGAAAATCGTTACTTAATTCGCAAGCGATCCGAGGAGTTTGCGAAGAATGTAACTAGGAGAGCGCGAGCAAAAAGAGGAGGAAGCAGAAGAAGGCGAAAGCTTGGCTTTCGGTCGAAGCAGGTTCGCAGCATCCCCTTGTTGCTTAGGCATCGCACGAGGGGTTGCAGCCCGGTTTATTGCGCTTGCGTGTGCTTCTATCTCCCCGCCCCGCCCGCCGATCATCCCCCACTCCAGGAACGCATCGAAATCTTTCGTACTTCGTCTTGTACTCGGTCAACTAACTCATTCGCATCTCTCTCTCATACGCTCTCTTTTTCTTTCTCCGTTACCGTCTCGTTTTGCTTTTTCTCGCGTACACGCCAATAGGAGAGAATAAGAGAGGGAGAGTAAGAGACGTGCACGAACGTACGCTCGAGTTCCCCTTTCCCTTTTCCCTTTCCCTTTCCCTTTCCACCGATGGTCCTGGGTATATCCTGGGTTCCCGCCATGACGAACGGGATGACACCCGA